TTCCGGCACATTTACAGGTGACTATTTAAAGCCTATAGTTCAGAGGTAGTCGTAGGTTGACGTCTGCCAGATTTGTGTTTCGTTTTAATGTTATTAGAATAAATTAGATTGATAGTTATCGACTTTGAATTGTTTCCCTTTTTGCAGTTGACTGACCCTTTATAGTTAACTTCCTCGTTCATCATAGATGTTTTCACGTTGGAAATCATGAAACATATCCTTTTTAATTTGTTTTTAATCTTTATTCTGCGGTTTACATGTTATAATGTACTATTATATTATTTATTTATGTATTTCTCTGCGCTGAGTGTTCTTGCGTTTGTTTTAACCGTATTCCTGTCACGTGGTGTTGTCATTTTAGCGGTATTTTTAACATTGCCATATCAGCGGGAGGTTCTGCTAGCCATAAAACCAGGTTCAACCCTACATTTTTTTCTTAAAATGTCCTGTACCAAGTCAGGAATATGGCAGTTGTTATCAGCCAGTCCGTTTTTATTAATGTTGGCTTTTGCTTATGTTGTAGTTCAGTGTTTCTGTTGTTCCATTGTTTTCCACTTATAGTTGATGTGTTTTCCTCGGTCTTAGTTTGTTACCCAGATTTGTTTTTGCTTAATCGAATTATGACTATTGAACAGCGGTATACTACTATTGCCTTTATTGATTAAACATGATTTTTGTAAAATGTTGTAAAATGTCAGTTCAATAAGACTAGCTTTTTTGAATTCCAAAGTATACATATATATTAGCATTTGGATGACTTTTAAACATGATATTTACTGATGTGTGAAACATGGTCAAACCAATGTCTTTCTTGTCTCTATTTATTGTTCTTTTTCTCTCTCTGAAAGCCATGTACGTACTTCACATTCTTCTACTGAAAGAATCGGCAGTTCTACTGTTTTACGTTTTTGATGCCAAAATCTTTAGATTTTTTCAGTTTCATATTTTGATTTATATGTACTTCTTTTGATTGAAATTTTTAATTGTGAATTGAATATATATTTTAAATTCTACTCAAAAAGTCAAGTAAAATCTTTGAGAATAGGAAATTCGAGATAATTCAAGGTCAAAAATTTAAACTTAAAATTTTATGAGGTTTTTTTTTAATTCAATATTTAAGCTTCAAGTTGTAAAATTGTTAAAGTTTATAAAAGTTGAATATTGAGTAGTGAGCTTAGAAATTATAATATTTCAAAGTATTTAGTTACAGTTAAAAATTTCAAATTTAGAACATTGTTTTAAATCTCTTATTAAAAAGTCGAAAATCAGTATTTTAGATATCAAAACTTTGAATTTGGAAAAACCAGTTCATGCTTATTAAAAAGTCGAAAATCAGTATTTTAGATATCAAAACTTTGAATTTGGAAAAACCAGTTCATGCTTATATATTCATTAAACTGTGAGAACAGAGCGACTTGAAACTTGGATCATGTCAAGTGTTCAAAAACTGTAAAGGGTTCATGTAAAAATTCTTTAATTGTAGAATGCATGCCCTTGTATATTGGCATAGAACATTTAACTAAGTTTTCTCCAGGATACAACCTGCAGCTGTGTCCAACTCTGATGAGAATGAAATAAAAACATTCTAAATCCCTAATGAGCCACAACAATATTATTCCATCCGCCATTTTTGTTTTTTTGTTATTTAATAAACTAATTGCCTGAGGAAGTTTTTTTTCTAAAAAAAATATAGCAACACCTTAATTAGGAAGAACAGACATGTATACAATGGTAATTTCACACCAAAGACATAAAATGTATCCAAGTCACGTCTCAGTTATGTTTTTGTTTGTGCAAATTACAATTATATACTACAATTCTAACTACAATGCCTGAAGAGTGTTTTTAAGAGTAAAAAATATAATTATGTATGCAGCTTTCAACCAATCTTTTTTATGTTTTTGACGCAAAGTCTTGTTTTCCTGTCTACCGGGCAAAAAGCGTCAACAAAAACTGATAGAAAAAGCATGTTTTGAATTATATAAACCGAATATATCTGAATCTAAGAGAATAATGATCCAGATAAGTTTATTTAATTCTCATCTTTTCACGAAGGAAATCAAGGTATAAAAGTTCTAACATATTGCTGCTAATCGCAGGTAACTAATGAACTACAAAACGGACGGTACAAAAAAGCAATACTTCTCAAACAGTTAATCGTTTTTGAATTTAATGCATTATGGATTATATTCTCAAAAGCAAGCGTACATAAAAAAAATTGGGATTGGTCGACGTCTTAAACATCTTGTATCCAAGGAGGGATTATGGGTATTTTAGTTTGTTGTACAAACAATAAAAATAGCGTATATTCTGAAACGACAGCGAAATATAGAACAATGGCATTTTTTGTTTTTGATACTGACTTTATCGGCAAGAATATCTAGCGAGCCTGATACTCGGGTTGATGAAGTCAGTATAAACAAATAACATGTTTTAATTCTATTTATCGTTAATGTATCATATCAATATGTTTTTTTGTTGAGAATATGAAAAAAGTATAAAAAATAATATCGAACTCCAAAGTAAATAAAAAAGGTGAAGTCCAAAAAAAAAACTGACAAAATCAAACGTTAAAATGTTTCAATCAACAGAACGAATTGAAAACAACTGTCATATTCCTGACTTTGTACAAGTATGAAATATAATGTAAGTAAAACTATTTTTACGCGTACAAAAAATGTGATAGTTGTTTGGTTGTATGAATGAAGTTGGATGCAATTCATTGATTAATTGACGCGGATGGGCATGAAAGCGTGACATTGCTTCAGTGTTACGTGAAGTGTTTGTCTCATATTGTTTTTGGAAGCACTATGATCTAACTAAATATTAGGCAGTAGGATGAAAGGAAATATGAACAAATTGCCTATAACTAAAAGTTATTGACACTTTAAAACCAAAGAAATAAGTAACACGTATTCCAAACAACTGATAGAAAACTGAAGTGTCCATTCTACTCTATACGTTCGCATGGTAAAATCCAGTAACAAGTCACAACGGATTATCAGCATGTACACTAAAAATCGGTATTGCAAAAAGAGAAAAAATATAAGAAAATTGCATCACTCATGACAAGAACGACAGGCAGGTTTTACCCAGATCACATATTTTGTGCGAGATCACTAGCGGCAAGAGATCTGCCTTCCATTATCTTTTATGTAAAACAGCAGAAAAAATCTGCGTATCCTAGCATGTGTACCAATATCTTAACAGTGTGTGTACACTAGCAGGGAAAGAGCTGCATTGACTGCCAAAACACTAGGACTGCTGGATTTAAACAGGTTCCTTTTTGTCATAATTTAATTTGTTTGGGATGCATTATTGCCAGAACTTTAAACAAGTCAAGTTTGTCTTATATTCACGGTGGCCGTTACCTGTAAGTTTCTTCTAACGTTACCTTTTTTCAAGACCCAGAGACATGATAATTGATCACTTAACACTCATGAACAATACTTTACCATATCTAAAATTAGGCACCTTTTCTGAATTCTTGTAGCAGAGATTTGAGAAAAAGAGACGAAAGATACCAAATGTACTTTCAAACTCATACGTCGGTATAAACTAATGTTGTCATTTGCAAACAAACGAAGACGATGAAACTAGCTTACAAATAAGATTAGGAGATGTCCTTTTGAACTTTGTTTGGCTCTTAGTTGACAAACTTATGACAAAGATAATTTATACAATGTAGTTTTAAAATTTCTATCAAACATCTTGCATTGATTTTTGGATTTTTGGATCATTCGCTAATTACAACATTTAAATATGATCACATTTTTTGACAAATGTTTCATCAAAATAATATTAAACTAAATCATTTTATGACGTTGCTTTGAGAAAGTTGTAAGGGTTATATCGGTCGATATTGTAGTAATAAGTAATTTGTCAACAGACTTTTATCTTTTGAGATATGTGGTCGTCTTTGTTCAATTAATTCACTTCCTGTTCAGACTTGTGGGAATTTATAATGAATGGGGAGTACCGACAAAATTCTATGTATTTTTATTCCATTAAAGTTTTTCTAAATCTATTTATCTATATTGAATTCTTTCTTATATCTCACTTTTTGCATTCGTTTATTTGAAGTCCTGTTTTCTGTTCATTCAATTGAATATTTATCTCGTGTGTCTTTCAGTTACTTCTTTCGTTCTCTTGTGCGAATTCTTTAAATATTTGAAGGTTTTTTTCCTTCTTACGACATAATCATTCTGGTTTGCATTTTTTGTAAGAATATTGCGAGATTATATCACAGTCGATTGCAATAGTGTTACTGACAGTCCCGTTTAAAAGCGCGTTCAACAAACAAAACAAATACAGGTATACTTTTGGTCGTTTTATGTTTTATCGGCTCTTCGGCGTCTGTATAAGATTTTGTCTATTCAAATATTTTGGCCCCAATCATCACTGAAAAGACATTCATTGTCGAAATGCTCGTCTGGTGCAGTAAAATTGGTGGCGTAAATCTTATTTCTACCACCTGGTCAAAATGTCTGCTGGTCGAGGGTATCACCAGCTCAGTTACAATTACTTCGGTATGAGAATACGGATATTATTTAATTCAAATTTACTGTTATATTTTGGCCCAGTGAATCACTGAAGAGACATTAATTAAAAGGAGCATCTGGTTCAGTTAAAAAGTTACTGTTAATGTTATTAGTGATAATCTTTGTTTGAATCATATATGGTCTTTTGTATGATTTGTCCTAGCCTAAAACAAAATATTTGTATTAATGTTGGCAATTCTTTTCGGTGAAACAAATTTTGCCCATTTTTTTCAGTATTTTTTTATACTCTTAGACTGAAGTTTATTTGTATAAAGAGGAAGAGAATTGAACTGGTTTTTACTACTTTACTAAGAGATGGGCATACATTGTATGTACTCAAACAAAGCATAATGTTGTTTAATGTAAATGCGGAGGAAACAACAAAATTTTGTATGTAATTGGAAACCTTCTTTCCACCGACTTTATACATTACTAATACGTAACAAAGTAGGGACTTACCTCTCTCTTTCAATTATTACATGTCTGAACTATTTGCATGGTCTTCAAGACTGCTGATAACAAGTTCTTACAAACAATTCATGTCCGATGTCATTTGATTGACAGAAAGAAAGCAGCAGGATAAAACCATATATAAAACGAAGTCCTGGAAAAATCAATACATGTCCGTTACCGACTTTGCATCTGTCTTTTACATATCTATTGAATTACATGGATCTTTATTGCTTGAACGTTTTAGATGATTATTCAGAAATAACATTAGAAATACCAATGATACAATTAAAGATATTTGAGACGCTTGTTTTGACTATGTTTCATCAAATAAAAAATATCACTGATTGAAATCTTGTTTTGTAATGCAGCGAAAGAATCGTAAATATAAATTTGAATAATGCAAGATAAAAACCATATTGCTCTTCAGTAATTGAAGAACATTATTTTACCTTTAATGGTAATATAACATGGAGGCTTCGTACGTCCACATTTATTGAATTTTAATGGTAATATAACATGGATGTTTCAACCATCCACATTTATTTAACTAATTTATAAAGGCTTTTGTCCATCTATCATGCGTCAGATAAGTAATTGTATGTAGTCTAATTTAATATTGTTTGCAATAATTTTTATACATTCCTTTATAGCCCAGCACATGAAATATAAATTGCTAATACATGAAAATAGTATTACATTGGAGATATTAGATATCATATTAGTCTGAATTTATATGAAACCTATGCAGTAATATATCACATAGATTTTGTTTCATTCTGTCAATGCTATCTCCAGATTTGATATCGGCTTTAATATAATCAAGGGTTCAGTTCCTTTAATGACATGTATTTTTGCCAATGAACTCACGAAATTGCTAATAAACACCTGCTTTCCTAATTCTTTTGTTAAAAACGAAATGCATGCATCAAGCACCTGTTTGTTGTCAAAGCATATCGATTCCTGACATACATATTATCTAGAAGCTTAAAGTTATGATTCCATTTACGACATTAATATTCGTTAGAACATCAAACAATGTGTAGTTCATGTTTATGCTTTAGATTTGCAGAACACGTTGAACAACAGCTTATATAAGTATTAAAAATGCCAAGCTAATAATGCTTCTGTACCAAACTTTCTAATAAGATTTGTAGTTTTAAATCATGTTTGTTATTTCTAATAAGATTCTCTTCTCTCTTGCCAAAGGTCATGATTTTCCTCGGCTCAGAAAGGTATTTATGTTAATGGAGAATATTGGTCAAATGAGTAGGAAACTTATGATGTCCTACTTTGATGCATTTAACAGAGAGTTCTTACATGCGTAGCATTGTCATACATAACATTATTAATACTTCAGGAGAATCGGAATTAAACCAGATTAAGAAACGAATGCCATCTTCTGTGTCTTTAAAATCCAGAATCATTACATTTCTATTTAATCAACTAAGCCATGAATCATTCGTGGAAGTAAAACACGTAATTGTGATCGTTAAATGGTATCAATGAAACATTTAGCTGAAAAGGCAAAATTTATTATCATCAAAATCATAGTGTTAATTTTCAATAATTAATGTCACTGTCGTCTTTTTTTCATATCATTTAATCTTTGTTCGAGTAAAATAATTGTCACTTCTTAACTTATAATACACTTAATTACACCTTATGTAAGAATCCTGGGTTTTGATTGGTTGATAGCCAGTGTATTTTTCACCAATTTACTGTTATCAAATGAATATCGTTCATTTTTTAACGCCGCCGGAGTATATGCAAAAAGGATATGCCTTTTTTACCCTCTCTGCCATGGTATTTGCCAAAAAATACTCTATCCGACTGGACGCTTGTAACGTCACGATCACCAATGCGTTTTTGAACGTTAACATTCGGTGTAATTAAACAGATATAGCATGTTCTTGAGGGGTATTTGCGAAAAATACCAGTCTTGAGAATGAATTTCCCTCGCCTTACGGCTCGCGAAATTTAACATTCTCTCGAGTGGTATTTTTCGCAAATACCCCTCCTTAACATGATATATCTGTTCAAAAAACCCCTAAACATGTATACATTTAACTCATTAACTGAAAACAAACGTTATATAGATATAGGAAGATGTGGTATGAGTGCCAATGAGACAACTCTCCATCCAAGTTACAATTTATAAAAGTAAACCATTATATGTCAAGGTACGGCCTTCAACACGGAGCATTGGCTCACACCGAACAGCAAGCTATAAAGGGCCCCAAAAAAATACTAGTGTAAAACCATTCAAACGGAAAAACAAACGGTCTAATCTATATAAAAACGAGAAACGAGAAACACGTATGAACTACATAAACAGACGACAACTACTGTTATATCCATATTCTTTTGAACACTGGTGGATAGTTGTCTTATTTGCAATTATACAGCTTCTTATTTTTATATTTACAACGAATAAAAATTGTGATAAATGTCACCCATTCATATTTTAAAAAAAATGGAATTTTGGTATCCTGGCCAACGAGACAACTACCCGTAGAAGAAATGACGAAGATGTAAACCATTGCAGGTCATCGTATGGCCTTACCAATGAGCAAACACCATACTGTGTATAAAAGGCTTAAAAAAGATCCCTGTTTGGCTGAAAATAAAACAATACAAAAGATGCAAACGATGGTCTGATTTATAACTACTGGTAAAAATAAATGAAAAACAAATATGACAGACAGCAACCAAAAAAACTGGATAACATACTTTGGACGGCAAAATACGAATGTATTTTAAAACTTTTGGAAGAAATCCTCCCCTAACCTGGGACAGTGGTTTAACAGCACAACATTAGAACAAATTTCAGAATTCAGTTGGATAGGGCTTGATTCATCAGATCGGCACTTAGCACAAAAATAAATAACAAATATACGAAAGACACAATGTATCAATCTAAGAGTACTCGCAGTTAATGGTAGTTAGTTCAAATTGCAAATGTTGATACCGATAAGGACAATCTTCAAAGTTCTTACTACGATGCTAAATTGATAATCTCTAAGAATGGGTGTATCTTAAGAAACAATAAGTTTATCTGGATCGAATCTGAATTTACAAGCTTTATAAACAACATCACCGTAAAAATTAGAATGTGATATCTACTTGGTAAATGTTATAAGTTATTTGTGGTAACGAAATCCCTGACTTAATAATTTCAGTTACACACAGATTACACTCAACACCACTACCAGCATAATCTTAGCAAACGAGTTGGGAAATATACGCGTCGTAAAAGCGGACAAAATTTAAGTTTCAATAAACGACATGCCATTATCTGCGTGAGTTTTCGTCCTCGTCTCAGGTTCTATTGCAATTTTCTTAATCACTGGGATTTAAGGCAGGTTGTCACTTGTGTATCAGTGTATTCCTTTTCATGTCATAAACATATGAAAATAATTCATATTGTCTAAAATAAGCAAAAAGTCAAAATTTGGTTGCTCCCAAACATCTTTCCTGTTTCTGATTTGCCTCGTTTTTTTTACGTTCGTGTATTGTACTTATATGGTCGATTTTATATTCCATTTTAAACACATCTAGTACTTCGTATTATACAATATTATTAACTAAAACAAGCTTACTATAGTTATAGGTATTTTCCAGACAATCTCGCCCACTGTCCTAAATACTGAGATGTTGATTGACCCTTAGAGACAATCAAATTATTATAAATAAGAGTCAACAATAGCTTATCTCGTTAATCAATTTTTAATTTATGAACCAATGGGAATCCTGTAAGAATCGCATGAAACAAAATTGGAGGGAAAAAGAGCACACCGACAGAGTAAGCTTCTACTGCTCTGGTGACGTGAAAAGAACTGTGTATTAAGGTGAAAGAAATTGCTATGTTTTAGAAACAAAGTGATATCCCGTTAAAGACTTTATCGACATTGACGCTATATTCAAAATTTCATGTAGTTCTCTGTCCAGTTTGTCCTTCGGAGCAAAAGTTTACAAAATCTTGTCATCGCTTATATCGTCCACTGCAATGTACGGTGCTAAATTACGTTCCGATTTTTATAGAAATATAAAAACAAATGCTTATGTGTTCTAGTAGATTGCTTTGATTCTTTAGGATTCAAATTCCATTGAGTTTCATAAACTTAGCAATGTTGACTCTTTAAGTGAAACAAATAAAAGTCAGAGTAATTTGCCGTTCCTCTTTGTCCAGACATTGAGTAATTAGGTTATTGCACATAGAACTCTGTGTTAATATGATGTACATGTATATAGACTATGTAGACCGAATGTTATTCTATTATATTACACCGGGATTAGAGATCAAGGTTTTAACTTTTTGTGCATCATCTTTTTTGTTCGCATTGGGGCTGTTACCTCACGCAATGCACCTGTCACTTCCTTAATTTTTCATTAAGTCAGATTATTTATCATGGTTTATTGCTAGCTTGATGTTTTTTGGTATAACTTGAATTGTCATTTTCTATACAAGAACAATCTAAATTATCAATTATATACCTATATGGAGTTATTTTCTTTCAGAACAATAGGTCTTTCTTTTTGAAGAGACAACCCGGACGATACCCAGTTTCAATGAAATTTGCTTCAAGGCATAAAATAATGACCTGTATAAGGTCATTGTTTTTCCCTGATTAAAATGCAAACTATAATTTACTTAAGCATTTGGTTCATTTGTTGTTGCCAATTGGGATTTTACATTTTTATAATTTTCCATCTTTTTTAATTTCGAAACAAATAATGCAAAGTTTTGTTAATTTATCGCTACAATAAAGGAACATTACGTGAGATGAATTTGATAATGCAAAACTTCTCAAAATACTTTTTAAACAAGCCAAATTTTAACACATTCGTGTGTAGGACTTTTAAAATCTCATTGATTCACACTGTCACACTTTGACCTATGGATTTTGTTTTCATGTTACACGTACATCACGATTTCGTGCTCTCTATGTGCCAGTTCTTACCTTTTTACATTTATGCATACCTTTTACGTATACTCTATAAAATGACCAAATTTTCTCATTTTCTCTAAAATAACAGCCACGTACTGTATAATGGGGAGGGGTGTTTATAAAACAAAAAATGTATTCCCAGACAAAAGAGAGAAAACAATTATTCTGAATAGTTCGTTAAAAATTGTTGAAAAAATAATCT